CCCTTTAAACAAAGCAACCAAACGTATATATTTCAGTTTCAGATTGCAGAAATGCTGAGTTTGTTTAATGCTCTAGTTCATTCTGCATTTAATAGATGTTTAAATTGGAAATTACTACAATCCTCATCTAATTCTATAGGAAGACATCATTACTTCCAGTCCATCTCTCTCACTCGCGTAGCCTACACACATTTCTAAATGACCCTCTGTTTTTCTCATTTACGTCTTGGCAAGTAAATGCATTATATTTTACTATACAGGAACTCTGAGTTAACTGAATGCATTTAGTTCTAATCAAAACACACATTGCCCTATAAATACAAAATGGCTTTTCTCCTTTAGCCTCGGTTACCTCATGTATACCTTGATCTAAATGAATGCGCACCATTTGCTTTACTAGACATTATTTATTCTCCAAATAAAAGGGGGGAAATTAACTTCAATATTGATCCCATCTTTTATGTCTTAACATTTATCTCAGGACTGGACTAAGAAAGATGTAGAGGAGTTCCTTTCCTTGCTTTCCATGCCTGAAATGGAGATGCGCGAGACTGACGTTTCAACGGCAGGTGAAAACAAGGACCTGCGCGTGGAGCTAGAACGTTCGGCAGAAAGCTCAAACCACCTGCAAGCTCGGGAACGCAAAGCGGGATGCAAAAACTTCTACTGGAAGGGCTTCACTTCCTGCTGAGGCCCTCACTTGAAATTTGCCAATTAATACCTTCTCGAATCTCTTGCTACGCTAACTGCTGTGGTCAAACCACAAGTTAATTGGTTCTGTTAATCAATCGACTGATTGTAAGTTAATACGATTCTAAATAAAGAATAAAAATAAAAGAGCTTTTTGTTGTGAATGACATGATGGTGTATAGCCTACATTTAGGATGCTATCTATTCTTTGGACTACATTTGTGAAGGGAAACACTAGCATTAATGATATGTGTGTGTTTGTTTATGTGATGTCACAATGGTGATTAGTGGTAATTAACAAGCATTAGGGATCATTCCGTTCTATTAAACATTGTGAGAGGCACGACACACCAATATGATTAAGAATGACAAAGGAGAGAGGACGACGAAAAACATTCTGTTCTGAATGTTTGTAGACGCCCCCGTCCACCTTTCCGCCATTAAAAGCCACGTGTCCTCATCTTCAGAAGAACACGCATGACTGACGGAACATCTATGAAGAGAACAAATAACTCACACGCATCATTTGCACTCTTGCTCTCTCTCTCGCGCACACACACTCCAGTTTGATGTGTTTTTCATTAGCGTGTTATTGGCTGTGAAAACAGACACTGCTCCGTGACTCCAGCTCCGTCCCTTGAGGCTCGCGCACGAACGCGCAGACAGGGTGGAAAAGGCTGTTAGTCAGTTGTAATTGTTATTTAATTATGATCCTGAAAGCACCGCATATATTTCGACACATCTGGACTGTTTGATTAGCGAGACTTCGTCAGGAATTATGAATGGCTCTCTGCTGCTGTGTGTACTCGGTAAATTTTCACTGTGAGTGTGTGTGTGTGTGTGTGTAGAGGTTTAAGCTACACATCATTCTTACACACTAATACCTATAGAAAATTACTTGCATTAGCTTGCATTAGAATAACCATATGGTATGTGGGTAGACTTATATATATATGTGTGTGACATTTTCTATATTTACTTGTTTGAGCCATTGTAAACAATGAGTGCAGAATAATTTTATACATTAGTAGTTTCTAATTATATATTTTTTATTGAAAAAAGCTATAAGAGCTATAAAAGGGCAATTATATTTTCATCTGGATAGGAAGGAAAGATTAGCAAAAATAGGCCTATCTCTCATGCACACCCGCACAAAGATTTTCCATGTTATACCCTCATAATTCCCATCATCCAGCTAAAACAAAACACAAATATCCCACAATCCCTCTGTTACGAGGACAACAATAGGCCCAAAGCATGAATTGAGTGTATCTTCTCTGTCCACACAGCTCTAGCAAAGCCAGTGACGTGTCACGCTCTCTGAACAAAAGACTCATTACTGTCTTTCATGATCCCCTCAGCATGCAAAAATAAGTGAAGGAAAACTGGCACAGAGCCAGTTATTTCAATTCAAGTTATTTAACAAGTTATTTCAATTCATTGCAGTGCAGCTTATATATGGTATTTTGTTACTTAACTATTTTTTATTTCAGTCTGGTCAGATGGAGATATACTGGCTACTGTGTCTTCAGCTGTCAATCAAACCAATTAGTCATGCCACATTGAATGTAATGAGTCATAATGTCAGCTGGTCGATTTCTCTTTATTGGCTCTCACTGCCTGCCCACAACCAACTGTTATTTCTCATGGAGACATATTTAATTTGGTTTATGTTTAGTACAAATATTTGCAAATGTTGCAATGTGATGCTGCCAAACTGCTGTTAAGCTGATACAAAAGTCAAAAGCAATTTAAATAATATCGGCTTTTGAGAGACAAGTTAAAGAAATTCTTTATACTACAATATAACCTGTTTTTATTTTATTTATTTATTTTTTATTTTATTTTATTTTTAAATTAGATTATGTGTTTTATTTTTATACGTGTTGTGAGGACAAACTTTGCCTGAAACAAAACCTTACAGAACCTCCTCTGGGGGCTTAATTCATTTTTAGCATTTTATTATGATAAATACAATGTAAATAATATATAAAATAATAAAAAAAAAATAACCTAACTATAATCTGTTTACTGTTGCCAAACAGCATTATTTAATTATAAAATGCAGGTATATTTTTTCAGTTTAGGGTTAGTCTGTAGTAATTTTTGTCTTTTAATTATTAATAATAATACTAATTAGTCATTATTTAATTATGATCCTGAAAGCACCGCATATATTTCGACACATCTGGACTGTTTGATTAGCGAGACTTCGTCAGGAATTATGAATGGCTCTCTGCTGCTGTGTGTACTCGGTAAATTTTCACTGTGAGTGTGTGTGTGTGTGTGTGTAGAGGTTTAAGCTACACATCATTCTTACACACTAATACCTATAGAAAATTACTTGCATTAGCTTGCATTAGAATAACCATATGGTATGTGGGTAGACTTATATATATATGTGTGTGACATTTTCTATATTTACTTGTTTGAGCCATTGTAAACAATGAGTGCAGAAGGATTTTCTTTAAGAAAAATCAAAACAAAATCTCTAATATCTTTAATTTCTCCTAGTAAAAATTAGATTAAATGGAGAGCAAATTACACTTTTGTTGAAGTATCCAGCTTCTAATATGTTTTCATAAGTAAATGACCCCATAAATCTTAATAAAGTGTCGAACTGCTCAGATGATTTGTAATCAAATGTCTGACATTCAAAATATATTCTAATATTTCCATGATCAACTTATCTGCCTCTTATTTATTATTGTTGTTGTGATACACTTTTTTAAATTATATATATATATATATATATATATATATATAATTTTTAGCATTTTATTATGATAAATACAATGTAAATAATATATAAAATAATAAAAAAAAAATAACCTAACTATAATCTGTTTACTGTTGCCAAACAGCATTATTTAATTATAAAATGCAGGTATATTTTTTCAGTTTAGGGTTAGTCTGTAGTAATTTTTGTCTTTTAATTATTAATAATAATACTAATTAGTCATTATTATTATTATTATTAAGAATAAAAATTTTAACTATTAATAATAATACGAATTAGTCTATTATTATTATTAGTAGTAATATTATTATAATCATTATTATTATTAACCACTATATTTTATGATTATAATAGTAATATTTATTATTATTATTATTATTATTATTATTAATAATAAATAAGTCAATAGGAAAGATAGATAGATAGATAGATAGATAGATAATGGTAATAATAATAATAACTGTTATAAACATAATATAAGTTTAAGTTATGTTCTCATTTAGATAAATATTTTGATAAATGTGTGTAAGTGTGATTACGTACATGTGCATGGTCTTAAAATAATCATTATGCTGTGAACAACACAGGCAATCATCAAAGAATTATTCAAACAACACAAATCACAATCACTCATCCATTTGAGAGAGAGACACAGCACGGCTTCCTAAACACAGTGGTGTGTGCGTTTGAGTGTTTATGTGTGCTTTGAGAAGACCAGCATGCTGTCTGCACACACTGAGCTGGTCCATTAGCCTTTGAGGCCTTAAACACTCTCTACCATTCATCATATTAAACTCCATTTAACATTCTTCCCACTGCTAGGCCACCTATCAAGATCTCTCTAGCATGTGTGTGTGTTGTGTATGGTTTCATATGCTCTGATGCTGATGGAAGCTGACTGAACTGATGACAGACAGTGGCTTGGTCAGAGGTCTATTACATCACACCCTGGCAACTAATACTGAGAATACACGACTGAACTCATGCATGTGCACACACAGATTCTCTCAGGTCAAAACATTTAAAGGGATAGTTCAAAAGACCAACAATTTTATCATTATTTTCTGGTAAATGATTTCCAATTAATTAATTTGAATAAATAAAGTAGCCTATGTATCTAATGATGGATTCATAGATATATGGAGGCTATATTAAAATATGGCTCGATTCGGACTGGTCTCCCTTCATGTTTTACATGTAGCCTAATAATAATAATAATAATAATAATAATAATAATAAAGTCGTTTGTTTGTGAATCAATTTACACTGGTCGCACTGTATGGGTTTCTTTCACTAAAAAGAATCTAAGCTAAAAAGTCTCATAAGAGTCATTTCGTAAATATAGGACTACACAAGGTTGCGTTGTATGTTTTTGATTCACTAAAAAGAACCGGCTCATTAGATTCATATGCTTGATTCATTAGATTCATAATCAGACAACTGTAGTCATGTTGTGTCTATATGTGTGTAGCACTGCAACTCAAAAATAAAGTAGTTTTTGTCATTATTGCTCGGTACGCTGTCTTTTATGACATCATATTCGACAACACAGACTGCGAACTCATTCTCAACTCAGATAAAATATGATTTATTGGCGTGACGCTGAAGATTCATCAAAGGGCAGCGGTTACGCTACGTCGGAGCAGGACACACTGGGTACGTCGCTTTTATCTTAATTGTTGCGTGTTTTATCGGCATTACCGAAGAGAACTTCAATTATGCATCTTATTTGAAAGTTTTATACCGCAGCAAAGTTCTAATGAGGTCCTGTATCTAGTAAGAAAGTGTTCAGCGCAAGGCAGTAAAAAGCGTCGCCTTAGTCATTTTACACCGACAATAAATTAACTTCATTACCAGCACACTGCACCATCAGCAGGGAAAGAACATTAGAGAAATGAGCCAGCACAAATATGTCCACTTCTGCCTCCAAATCCCCATTTAAACTCGCTTAAAGTTCTACCTCCTCAGTGACTCGTATAGAAAATTACTGTAGGATAAACCGAAGCCAGACTGTACTCTCAACTGTTCAGCTGTAGGCTACGGCAATATGTTTTCCTCCATCATTAAACAACACTCCTTTATTTTGTTGCGGTGTTTCTGTATAGAAAAAATGGGTCATTTGAGGGCGAGTAAGATATTTTTTGACAGAGAAAGAAAGAAAGAAATTAACCAGATGTAATGTGTTTTTTTTTCTATTTCTAATTAATTTGTGTATGCACAAGTTTTTTGACAGATGTCTTTCTCAGATACTTTGCTGCTCTCCTGTAGCCAAGTGATGAGCTCATGATTAAGTGATGGCAACTGTTGTTTTCTCACACACTGATTTTGATACTTCTCTGATGCATTTTTTAAAATAAATATTATCATGCCGGTGGGCGCATTTATGAAGATTAACATTATGAATGAATGCTTTGTTTTTGAATCACCAATCCTCATTAATGATGCATCATAATGGAAATAGAAAAAAATATTGATACATAAAACTATTTTAACTATTTAGAACTATTTTACATGCAGTTTTCTATATTTTCAGGAATAGTTCACCCAAAAATGAAAATTTGCATAACAAATACTCATCCTGAGGCCATTCCAGATGTAGATGAGCTTGTTTCTTCACTGTTATGGATTATTGGACTCGTAATTTGGCCAGAAGTGGCAGTTTAAAATTAAAACACCTTAATGATGGATTTGTTTCTTACAAATATGCAGCTTTTCCACTTTTTCCACTAACAAGATGTTAATAAATGGATTGGAATCATGTTGATCTCTTGTGGATTCTTGTTTTTATTAGCACGTTTGGACTTTCATTCTGACGGCACCCATTTACTGCATAGGATAAGCAAGTGATTTGATGCTAAATTTCTCCAAATCTATTCTGATGAAGAAACAAATTAATCTATGTCTTAGATGGCCTGAGGGCGAGTAAATATTCAGCAATTTTGTGTGTGTGTGTGTAAACTATGCATTTAATACTGCTTTGTGTAATCTTTTCAATTTTAAATATCTCAGTAAAGGCTATTATTTGTCATATGTAGTATGACTTTATGTTGGTGCTCTGAGGCTGTGGAATAATGTGTCTGGGATCTTTTCGTCATCTTCACACCAACAAATTAAACTCATTAAATCACAGATGCTTGAAGCAGACTTAATGATATATCCCTGCTAAAATATTCTGTTGTTAAATCATCATGCTGTCCTATGGGAAAGCTAGTTTGGCTGTTTTAGAAAGGGAGATATAGGAAGAGTGAGTGAGGGAGGGAGACCACCTGACCTTCATGCAGCAGATACTGTATTTTCTGTGATATGCCTGCAAACCATTGCAAATACAGTCTGAATAAGGTGTGTATTACATCTCTCATTTCCATAAAGGTCAGACGTGTGTATACTACAGGCAGACAGATGCATTAACACAGACTGATAGGTCAGCTGGTGGCTGCACTGAGAGCCAAAGAAAGGCTAAGATGTGAATGTATTGAGATATAGAATTGATTTCCTGTATCTGTGGTGGTCGTGCCGTTTTGAAAAGTGTTAGGGAATGGAACCCCTGGATATAAATAAACTTCTTTGGCGTGCCTGTTTAAGACCCCAAGTGGTGCTTAAAGGCAAACCATGTGCAAATTCATCAGTCAACACCATTGTCATTTGCTCTGCAGAATACAAAAAAAGGCGGTTTGAACCAGTTCCTGTTTCCTACTGTCACAAACCTGTAACCAATCCCGTCAACCTGTGGCTGAGGCTTTATCATTAGCGAAGCATTTCTGTGTTGATTTTGAGAAGGTAGCTGTCTAAGATGGTGAACAGGAACATGGTTTGTGTAAGCAACACATTATTATAGCTGTTTCATAACAGGCCAAAGGCTAATGATATAAATTACGCGTGCAATGTTGTTGAGGGTGATATACAAAATGCATTATCATTCTGATACATTGACTAGTAAATGACGCCGCATAATTCGCTCTTCCTCTTCTTCTTCAGAATCACTTAATGCTTCAAACATGCATATATGGCTGAATTAATCCAATATTGCCATTTGCCACTGTGTAGCTTTTACTACATAAGTTAAGTGAAAGTGGAGCAGGTAGTCCGAGCTGGTGTGATTGGTGGAGGCAGTAACAAATTTGCATATTCGTGGTATAGGCCTTATGTATCCCCGCCCCTTTTCCACACTTCTTGTCTTCCGTTTGTATTCCACAGAGTGAAGGTAAGGTCATACGAATTTTATGAATTAACCACTAGTTTTAAAATCTTCCCGTTCTAACTGACATTTGTTATGACATCTGCTTCAAACATTACAATTCTCATGGTAACTTTTAACTTTTAAAGGGGTCATATGATGCGATTTCAATTTTTCCTTTCTCTTTGGAGTGTTACAAGCTCTTGGTGCATAAAGAAGATCTGTAAAGTTGCAAAGACTAAAGTCTCAAATCCAAAGAGATATTCTTTATAAAAGTTAAGAGTCAGCCACACCTACCTAAAACGGCTCGTTCTAACACGCCCCCACATGCCTACGTCACTATCTGGGAAGATTTGCATAACGCCGCCCAAATGTTCACGCAAAGAAAGAAGGCTAGGCATGACGATATCTGCTTCGTCATGCCTAGAGCTGATCTGTGCTGGTCATGTGGAAAATAATGTGTTTTTTTTAACCTTAAACCACATAAACACATTTCATTACACCAAATACACAAAATAATGTTCTTTTTAGCAACATCATATGACCCCTTTAAAAAGTAAATCCACTTCACCAGCTAATTGCTCTTCAACAGTGATGCTATAGATCAGGGGTGTCCAAACCTGTTCCTGGAAGGCCACTGTCCTCAAAGTTTAGTTCCAACCCTAAATAAACACACTTGAACCAACTCATCAAGGTTTTCAGACTCACTAGAAACTTACAGGCAAGTGTGTTGGAGCTACACTCTGCAGGACCTTGGCCCTCCAGGAGCAGGATTGGGCACCACTGCTATAGATTAACCTCAAAAGATGAAATTCTAAAGATGGCTGCGCACTTGTTTCTCTGACGCACAAGGTCTATACTAAATGTGGTAAGGATGTAGATTTAATATTCAAGCCATTGTAAGGCATGAAGAAATTATTTTCACAGAAAAATTTTTTTTTTCGTAATTTCATGTCATTTCGATTATCAACAATGAGTTTTAAGGGATAAAATTAGTGACTGCAAGAGAAATGTAGAATGATGTCACAGTGAGATTTCATGCCTTTGCAGCGCATTGTTCTAGAACCCTCAGAATGGAATATGTAAGCAAGTATGACTCACATTCAAATAAATATGTAAATCACAGAGGTGACCGTAGGAAGTGACATCATGGCAAACTGTGTCTGATTGTAGCGACAACTTCAAAAGGAACTAAATAAATTAAGCAATTAAGAAGTGCATGTGACGAAAAACTGATAATTGCGCAATTCGTTAAACAAGCAAAGTAGTTTGGAGTTGTCTGCTGATTAGCATGAATTCTGCATATGCATGAATAGCTCCCGAAACTGGTTACGATTTCATTTTCCTGACACAGGAGAAAGAGATTTGATGTTATTTAAGCTGCATAAAAGAATCACAGCGGTTCAATTGCAGACGATTCTTTGTTGTAAAAACGGAGATGAAAAGTTTGAAAGCAATTTATTTTCTCGAGATGCGCAGGAGATAATTTTGACCTGCTCTAAGACATTCATACACACACACATACACACACACACACACTTGAGAGAAAGTATGTTCTCTCCGTCTGAGTTGAAGAGCTGATTAGCAGTGTGAGGGTGGGTAGACGGGGTTCGGCGAGGCTGTGTTTAAATATCAATGCTGAATGATTCCACTGCCAGGTGCTCTTTTCTCTGGTCTCTGCCCGACTGCTCCATCACTAAATACCATTGATTCTGCTATTACACACACAGAAAAAAAAAACATTTCGTAATTTCATGTCATTTCGATTATCAACATTGAGTTTTAAGGGATAAAATTAGTGACTGCAAGAGAAATGTAGAATGATGTCACAGTGAGATTTCATGCCTTTGCAGCGCATTGTTCTAGAACCCTCAGAATGGAATATGTAAGCAAGTATGACTCACATTCAAATAAATATGTAAATCACAGAGGTGACCGTAGGAAGTGACATCATGGCAAACTGTGTCTGATTGTAGCGACAACTTCAAAAGGAACTAAATAAATTAAGCAATTAAGAAGTGCATGTGACGAAAAACTGATAATTGCGCAATTCGTTAAACAAGCAAAGTAGTTTGGAGTTGTCTGCTGATTAGCATGAATTCTGCATATGCATGAATAGCTCCCGAAACTGGTTACGATTTCATTTTCCTGACACAGGAGAAAGAGATTTGATGTTATTTAAGCTGCATAAAAGAATCACAGCGGTTCAATTGCAGACGATTCTTTTCTTTACATAAATGTATAATTATTTACCAACAATGCAATGAATCCTCATTCTATTCCTGACTGGCGATTCAGTTTGAAGAAAAGTCAATGCTGAATGATTCCACTGCCAGGTGCTCTTTTCTCTGGTCTCTGCCCGACTGCTCCATCACTAAATACCATTGATTCTGCTATTACACACACACACGGGGTGTAACGCTTCACAGCAGTACCATTTGTTTGAGACTGTGTGAGTATGTTTGCTTGAGTCTGCTGAGAA